TTATGTATCGGAATGGTTAAAAAATTTGGATGAAGGTTTGGCTGACTTAGATAATAGATTAGAAACATTAGAAAAATTGGTTGATAAAAACTGTATTTTAAGTGATCAAAGTAATGTTACGAAAAAGTTTAACGACATTACTCGTAAACTCGATTTTTTGGATAACCAACGTCGAATAAATAATGTTGTCATTACCGGTTTGGAAGAGGTTCGGGATGAATCGTCTCTAGAAACGAAAGAGTAAATAGCTGAATTTGCTACACGAGCTTTACAGATGCCCGACATTAAAATTGGTAGGACAATGAGAGTGGGAAAGAAAAAGAGTAATTCCCCTAGAGTAATTATTTGTACTTTTGTTGATTATTATGAAAAAATGTACTTTAAGAAACGAATTCTAGAGTTAAAACCGGATGGTGTCTACGTAAATGATGACTTCTCTCCTAGAGTGAGAAATATTAGATTTAAACTTCGTGATTTCGGTAGACAATCAAAACTTTCTGGAGCGTGAATGGTAAAAATAATTTATGATAAAATTATTATTGATGGAACGAAGTACTTTTACGATGTTGATTGTGACCAGGTTAAGCCTGTTTCATCCTATCAACTACCGGATAGGGGTACTTCATTTTTGATTTGGAATTATGCTGATTTATTTCATAAATCTGAGTCTTTTTGGACATATTTATTGCAGTATGATATTGTATTTCTTTCTGAAACCTGGTATGCTTCTACTAATAGAAATTCGGATTTAACTGATTGTTTGCAGGGTTACAATCTCCATTTTGGAAAAGCTTTTAAGTTACACGCAAAAGGTCGTCACTGTGCAGGCTGGTTATTAGCAATAAGATCCTCTTTTCCCTGTGTTGTTGTTTATCAAGATGCTTTTCTAATACTTGTTAAATTTGGTGCTGAACTTGGTAATATTTTGGTATGTTTTGTTTATTTTAGGGAAAATGACTGGCAGACTATTTTTGATACTTTAACTGGTTTATTATTAGATAATAGGAATGTATTAATTGCCGGTGATTTTAATGCTAGGATTGGATTGGAAAATATAATTTCTGATTCATTTTGCAACTCTTTTGGTATTGTTTGTCCTTTGCGTAGGAATTCGAAAGACTTGGTGATTGACTCCTGTGGTAGAAAGTTGCTTCATTTATGTGATGATTTAGATATGATTATTGTTAATGGGAGATGTTTAGGTGATGAAGCGGGTGAATATTCTTTTATCTCTAATCGTGGTTGTTCTGTTATTGATTTGGTCATTGTTTCTCCGTTAATTTGGAAAGATATTCTCTCTCTTACGGTGGATCAGTGTTTGGATTCCGATCATAACCCTTTGATATTACGACTGGTAGGTGGCAATGAGAGATCGGTCTCTGTAGAAAAGAGGCAGAAGATTAATAGATTGTTTTGGGATGAATCTAGAAAGGATGAATTAAGGTTGGCTATGGAGGAAATATGTACCACGAATAAGTTTGATTTAATGGAAGACCTGAGTGATTGTCTTTTTAGTTTGGCTTGTAAGTGGGGATTTAATATCAGGAGAAATAAGAATTATTTTTCATGGTTCGATTCGGACTGTAGAATGCTAATTAGTGCAAGGAATAGAGCCTGGAGATCTTTTAGAAAGAGTAATGATTCTAATGATCGATTTCGTTTTGTTATGTTACGAAGTTTGGCGAAGCGGTTTTGCATTGCGAAAAAAAAATTATTTGCTGGTAAAATTCAGAATTGTTTTAGGAGAGATAACAGACTTTTTTGGAATTATTTCCGACATGTTAAGCAGGCTAAGTCTTGTAATTTC